GTGTGTGTGTTTGTGCATGCGTGTGAGGGAGCAGGACGTGGTTGGGGGGAATGGGCAAATCACCAGAGTCATTTCCTTTCTGAAAAGTTGTCAGAAAGCACAATTCATCATCTTTTAGTCTTGATAGTTATTCTCTGTCAGGACCTTGATTACTATTTGGTGGTTCCCTCTTTTGAGGGCTTTCTCCTCTATTTAAGAAGATAACTCAGCAATCCATGTGGCTTTAGGAAGTCAGCTTACCTTTTTTTGTCTTCGTCTACAGAGTAAATGAATTGAGTTTGGGATCTCTGAGGACCCTTCCAACTTTGAGATCAGTATTTCTAGTGCCAGGCATATAGAAGTAATCAATAAGTATTTATTAACTGAGTAAGTGATGCTCCTGATATTGTTTCATGAACCGTAGAATACCTGTAAAACTACATTTTTAAAGGCACTTAAAAAATCCATTTCCTGTGAGGCACTTACATTTCTTTATAGTGTGTGTGTATGGGTGGGGGTGGGAGGTTCGTTTGCTGTGGTATTCCTTTGAGGGACGGCAGGAGGGCACTGGGAGGCACATTGCAGTCTGTATATCTGTTCTTATGCTGGAAGGCTCTATAATGGATATCCTTGGTCAGGACTGGAATTCCTGGTTTTTATCTCATCATAGATCCTTTGTGACTCTTATGGCTTTTCTTTATTTCTTGCTTATTTGCCATATTTCTTGGCTTAAAGGCTTTATTCAGGACAGTGGTAAGGAGAAATGGCCAACAACTAGCTTGTTTATTGATTTTTCTGGAAAAGTTCTTGCTGCCTGAAGAATACTGAGGATTTTGGGTTCTACTGTTCTTTGACTCCGTTTGGGGGCTGTTTACTTTGAATCGACATATTATTTTTAGATAAATTATCATATGTAGAAATGTAAGCATTTCTACACATACATTTCTGTATATGTATATTTGGGTGTGTCGCTCAGCCTTTCAGAACAAGGTTTGTAAGGAAGTTGCATATACATGTGAGAGTTCATGGACATTCTTACTTAATTCTGATATTATCAGCATAAATGTTCCCTACTTCATATTTTTATTATATTTCCCTTGTTTAAAATGGAAAAGAAAACAGAAAAATATAATATGACATTTTGGTTTTAATGAAAAGAAGTATTTCTCTTTTCCCGTACAGTTTTACTTCAGTGCAAAAAAAAAAAAAAATGTGTTTCCTCAACTAGTTTAGTCATATGTAAATCAATATAATTGCAATTTTAAAAAAACAACACAGCAACATTTTCAACCTGGGCTTGTGGATTCTGGGGGGAGGAGAATGACAGAAGGTGGAGGTTGAGAATAACTGGCATGGAAGGGTAGCTAGCCTTTGACCCAGCTTCAAGGGGGCAAAGATGGCAAAGACTTCACTGTCTCCCTTTGTTCACATCAGTTTTGGCGAGACTCATATATAGGAAGCTTCCACATTTTTAAAAAAGAAATGGGAGAGGGAGGGAGGAACAGAGGCACAGAGAGACAGAGAGACAGAGAGACAGACAGAGACAGCCAAATAGTTTGCAGATGAAAAGAAAAGATCTGCAATCTTTTCAAAGTTCTTCTGACTTTTTTCCTACAGAAGGACAAGAGATATTTTACTCTGGTCTTGGCTGAGCATGGCTTAAAATTTCTGTGAGATCACACTCTGTAGTGCCCCCCTGCCCTAAATCCCAACAATCCATCCATTTTACCCCCATGAGCTATTAAAATTCCACTTTGAATTAATTCAGTAATTAAAATTAAAGTGGATTTTTTTCTTTCTCTGAGCCTCAGTGAATTTGAGTGTGTAGAATATTACCATTTTTATATTTTTTTATGCTTTGGTTACATGACCTGTATTGAACCATTAGGCAAAACAAACCCATTTTAAGCCATATTTAGGTCTTGTGGTCTGCTTTTCCTACTGTCTTTGCTTCCCGCAGCACGCTGATTATTGAGGGAAATACCTATGTGAGATTCCTTAGCATCTTTTATCCCATTCTCAGCAATATTTGACTAAAAGTGATATCTCCAACAGGCATAAGAGAAAGGTTGTATGGTGTATCGTGGCCTAGCAGAAAATTGCTTCAGAGCAGATCCATAAGGGCACTGATTCCTCAACAGAATTGGCTGGAATCAGCCACTTTAAAGGTGACTTGGATTTAAAAACACTCGGGTCCTGCATCTGATGACAGAATAGAGACAGATAGCATCAGGCAAATTAGATTCCAAGTGGAAAAATCAGAATATGTCCTGGGTATTAGAGAATTACTTTTAATTTTGTAGTTGTGATGATGCCATTGTGATTATGTAGGAGAATGTCTTTATTGTTTAGAGTCATAGTTATAAAAAACATGAACTAGACTGAGCTTATCTGATTTTAATATTTTTTGGAATTACCAGATGAATGTTTCTTTAAAACACTTTTGAGTAGTTATTACTGCAAAGCTATGTGCAGTGTTTATACTTTTTGGCATGTGAATGATGCATTTCTTATGGCAAATTATATATTTACTTCCATGAATACACAGAAAGAAAACATACCTTTGATATTTAAAGGGTTATTTCTGTGTAATACTCTGGGGTGCAGAGCCCAGCTTCAGTTGTGTTGATTTTTAGGTCCTTTAGTCTGTGCTCTACACAGATGCCTGCTGCAGTGGGGTGGGGAATAGCTCAGTGACACAACATAAACTACTCATGCAGAAAGCCTCTTTTGATGCTTAATACCAAAAGAAAAAAACAACATATCTGTAGAACCCTTATAGCCAACCTTTGTTTGTACTGGGAAGGAGTCGCACCTTTCTGAACACCTATTTATTTTCTAGTAAAGAAATATAAAATGGGCTTATTTTGAATTAGTAGGCCTCTAGTGAGAAATTGGTTTCACCAAGTCAAAATCACAACTGGAAAAGACTTTAAACCCATTCTGAATGTGGATTTTATTTTATTTTTTATTTTTTAATATCAGGGATTCGAATTTGGGTCCTTGCTTTTGCAAGGCAGGCAGCAGAACCACTGAGCTAAACCCCTGGTCCCTGTGGAAGTGATTTTAGTAGGTATGAGGCCTTTGTTAAACTTGCTGTAACCACACTGGTGATCTACTAGTAGCAAAGCTGAGCTAAGTGTTAGGAGAGAGAGAGTGAGCCAATCCAGGGTCCTTGTGTCCTTCAGAATATAAGACAGGGAGCTGGACATAGCTACTTGGGAGGCTGAGGCAGAAAGATCCTAAGTTCGAGTCCAGCTTGGGCCACTTAGTGAGACCCTGTCTCAAAATAAAAAGGGCTGGGTGGGGGATTTAGCCCAGTGGAGTCACGCCTGCCTCACAAGCGCAAAGGTCCCTGTACCAATGAATAAAAAAATAAGCAAACAAATTAATTAATTAATTAAAAAGGCTCACCCCTCTACTTTTGGTTCCACATAAAAAAATCACCTACAAAATTGCAAATCTAAAACAGACAATAATATATAGCTTATATTATGGGTGGCACTTTTCAACAGTTTCTTTCAAATTGTATTACGCTTGATGAGCTTTAATATTAAAAATTATTTTATGTAGCTAAACTTTATTTCTTACAGTTTTCCCTATTTGTTAGGTGCTTTTCTTGACAGATTTTATCTATGTACAAAGGCCCATACTTTAGTCACTGTGTGTGTTACCAAGTTCCATGACTTTCTTTACTATAAAATTCTAATCACATTTGCTAGGGATAAAATAGTTTACCATGAGTAGGTAGCATTTATCCTTGAAATCCAAAGAAATTGGAATTAAATAAATAAAACTGCAGGGCAGTTATGATAAGTTGCACTGTTGGTGAAACTTTCTTTCAAACAAGAAACTGTGTTATTTAGGAAGACTAATTTTAAACTATTATTTCTAATAAATAATGATATTCATATTTTATGAAAGAAAAAGACCTTAATATGTTTGGTGATGTTGAACAATGTGAAAATGTCTGAAGTTCTAACCTGCCTTTTACCTGAATTTTTATTGAAACTTGAGCTTAAAATCTAATAACTTCTGTTTTTCTTCCTTTGCTGAACAGTTGTCTCCATTTTTCAAGTGTAAGGGCTATGACATCTCATGTGTTTTGAGTGAAAATCAAAATTGTTTTACAAGTTCATTTGAATATGACTGTTGTCTGTCTTCCTTGTTTTCAGAAGTTGAAGGTTATTGTGAAATAAACTCATCCATTTTTTTCTTTCATTAAAATTTGAATTTAATGTATACCAAAGGAAAATTTAAAAGGGCCCAGGGTGTAGCTTAGTTGCAGAGTACAAGCCCTGGATTCAATTCCCAGTAGTACAAAATAAAAGACATGGGATATTTTTAAATCTTAAAATGTAATAGTGTCTCTAAATTTATCACTGTATTTTTTTTTGAAGAAGGGTGCATTTCTTCTAGTTCTCCTTTCTAGTTTTTTTTTCACTGTCTACTAACCTCAATTTTTTCATGTGCAAATCGAGACCCCTATTAAGTAAAAATTGTTGACATTACTTTTTAACTTTTTACTCTGTGCTTGGCTCTGTCTTGAATGACTTATGTTACATTTATTTAATCTTCGCATTGACTGTGGCTATTCTTATGATGCCTAATTCGTGAGTTAGGAGATTAGAAATTCTGAAGTAATCATGTGCTGTGTAATCAAGGATTCTGGAGATGAGAATCTTGAGACTCATTTAATCGGGGAGGCAGTGCACATCCACATTCTGGGCTCACAGTGTGTGCTGTTTCAGATCCGATCCTTCAATTGAAGCGAACACACCTTGGGTGAACGTCTTAACTTCTGTTTGCCTCAAGCTCCTTGTCCGTCCAATGGAGAGGATAACAGTCTGCACCATAAGATTGTTAGGCCCAATGCGCAGTGCTTAACCTGGTCTGTCGGCTAGCATGATCTCCATAAATGTGACAGTTGGTAAGGAAAGACGAGGATAAGGAGATAGTGGTGACCAGAGAAGCCATCATGGTTGTTTTTTTTAGAAGAAAAAAAAATTTTTTTTTTACAGAAAAATTAAAAGATCCTTGGTGGGTCTGAAAATGGTGCTGGTGGGAGTGACGGTCTTCATGGAAAGAATGAAGTTATCATAATCAGTGAAACCAGGGTAATTGGTGGGGAAAAAAAGGAATGAATTAGACTGAAGAAGTAGAGATGAGAGGGGACCGTTAGTCCAGAAAGATGGACGTTAAATTATATAATCCAGCAAAATGTTCACAGGTGCCTGTATCTTTTAGGATGTCCTTTAAAGCTGTGAAATTTAAATAACATGTAAGAGGAAAAGTAACATGTAAATACCATCATGGGTGGGGTGGGCTTAGAGGTAGATGCTTCACATTTCGCCAGCCAGAAACTACGGTAGATCTGGTGCCGGGGTGTTAGTCAGAATGCAGATTTTTAGGGAAGCCTCTGCTAAATCATCAGTGTTTGGGAGGGGAAGAAAAACAGACAGAGACAGCAGTAACACATATAGAAATGAGGTCCAAATGTGGGCGCTCAGATGGAAATGTTCCAGTTTCTGTGGCTCATCGTGGACGCATATAGAATGCAGGAGCTAAATGGGACCTTGGAGATTGTCCGGTGCAAGCCCCTCGTTTTACATTTTACATTTCTGTGAGGATAGAGCCTGGTGCAATTGGCCAGGATTGCAGTACAGTGAAATCAGGGAAGCTCACGGGGTGTTTACAGAAGATGTTAAGTGAGGATGAGGGGAAAGCAGAGATTCCTTTGATTCTACAGTGATGCCCAGATGGGAAAAGTAGAGTAAGGAAGGCAGTGAATTTTCCCAAATTAATTTAAGAAGGCTGGAAAGAAGGAGGGAGGAAGGGAAAAGAAAGAATCTAATTTTATGCTACACAGTCTTAGATTGGATTTGTAGTTTATGTTTAAAAGTTGATGATAAGGAAAATTCTCATTATTTCTAGGAACATGGTTTCTTGAAATGGAAAGAGTTTGGGAGAGAATTTGGCAGCACTGATGGTTCCAGCAAATGAAGACTCCATTTGCAGCTGGTGTTGAACCTGGTAAGCAGTTTACATTACTCTGTTACTGTTTAGGATGAACACCTCGTGGCTTTTTCAGTAATCTCTTGTAACTAAGTCTGTGCTTAGTACTTTCTTTGAATAACCGAGTGTCTCAATAGGAACTAATGAGTCAGATTAATTTGGCATGGAGGTCTGAGCAGGGACAAGGGGAGGGATCCTCTTTCAGAGCACTAAAAATACTTGCAGAGGTTCCTTTCCACCCCCACACCACCCCAGGGTTGGGTTGGAGGGAGTCTTAAGGGTTTAAAGACTCCCCACTGTGCTTGTCCCCCGCCACCTGACACAATAGCACTGGGTTCCTGAATGAGGACCAGTGTGAAGCCTATATCCCTGGTTTGTCTGTTTCACGGAGAAAAAGAAGCCAAGAGCACAGAGGATGAGCAACTGTAAGATTTTTATGGCTCTGTACCCACTTGTATATTGTTCCATGTAAAAGTATTCACCTACTACGTCTGTATTTTAGAAAGAGGCTTTTACTTTGGCATTTTTAATGTAAAAACATTGCACTTATTTCTTACCTTATGATTGCATGGCTGTTGTGAGGTTTGGACATATTGGTAGCTTTCCATATTGTACCCTCAGTCCTATCTAAGGACACAGGCCACCTGCACTGCTGGCTTAAAGGTTTTGGGAAAGTGGGTAGGCCTGCAAAATAAATGTCATCTTCTTTTAATCCTTTCTCTTTTTCTTTTTGCCTTTTGGTTCTACCTCCCTCTGCTGTTCTTACTGCAGTCTCTGCTGTATTGGGCGACGGAATCGAATTAGAAGAAACCGAGGCACTGCGTCGTTGTGTGTCTACCTTCAGTCCCCAGGAGCAGGTGACAAAGCAATAGCTGAGGCAGAACTCAAGCTTCTGGTATGGAGAGAGACTTCGTGGGTCATACTGCTTGTGCCGCTGTAATTGATTGAGTTTGTGAGGGACCAACTCTTCTAGTCTTTAACAGAAACCTCTGCTTTGCACTTGCAAAATTATTTGTATCATAAAGGTCAAATCCTTTGGAAAAAAAAATGGCTGAGATAATCAAAGCTCACCAAGAGTGACATAAAGGAAACGATTTTTTTTCGTGTCTGTGCATATGGATTTTGCAGGGTCTATGTTGCTGTACAGTATCAGTAATTGATGTTCTGAGCAAGAAATTGTCACTGACATGCGGGGTTGTATTTGTGATTCACACGCGTTCTTGTGGTTCTATTCATCCATCCACCCACTTAAGAACCCAAATGCAGTGACACCTGGTGAAGAAGAAAGTCCTAGTGTCTGGTGCATGAAAGTCCACAAGTCCTTTAGAGCGAAGGGAATATTGCTTACATTTGGAGGATGGACAGATAAGCTCAGCCAAACCATGATTCTATATCGAAACACAGAAACAAAACCAGAAAATGCCCTTAAGTGTTGGGAAGAATGTTGGGAAAATCTTGTTGGTCTGTTGGGGGGAAAAATAAGTGGGGTATGGTGGAATTAGAAAGCTGGGGTGCAAATAGGAACTTGGGGAGAAAAAGAAGCAGAATACTCATTTTTCCCCTCCAGGGTTTGATATAGTCACTCCTCACAGGAAACTGAGGGAACATGTAAGGTATCTACACATTTCCCAAACAGGTGATTTTTCCTTGGAAGCAGGTGAGTTAATGAATGCAAACCTGCATTAAAATAGGGAGAAAATGATGGGCAGAGAGAGGGAGATGGAGAAGCAGAATAATTGTTTTTAAAAAAATCAGCCTAAATTATATTTTGTTATATTCGTATTTCTCTCTTATACTATATAATGTTTCTAATATCCTTTGGGGGAAATTGATTAGAGGCTAGCATTGAACTCAGGTCCTTGTGCTTGCAAGGCAGTTGCCAGAACTACTGAGCTAAATCCCCAGCCCTAGACAGGTCTTTTGAAAGTTAGAAATTTTAGGATTGGATTTTTTTATTTTACATGTTTATTTGAAGTGCGTGACACAGAAAGTATATATTAAACATATGTATGTAGTCTATATATTAAACAAGCATTACTACCTAGTAGAAACATCTTAAGATAGATAAGAATAGTTAATGATTTCAATATAAAAGTTTTAAAACTACAAAGTCATAAAGAAGACCCCCACAATGTGCCAATGGCAGAATTAAATGCAAGACAACTAATGATTTAATAATTACTACCTTGTAATAGTCCTGCGATAAAATTTAAAACAGTACTTTTAAATTGGCAGTATGAATTTAATTTAATTACATTGAAGCTTTGCTATCTAAAATTAAGACCCCCAAATTCAAGTATTCATTATCCCATTATGATTTTTCATAGAATAGAAATTATCATAATAATTTACTGTCTTTCTTTCTTTTTTATCCTATAGGAAAATATTGTTTCATCTTCTGAAGAAACTTCAACATTCTTTTTTTTCCCTCTTTGGAGATTTTTTCAAGTTGAATTATCTTCTTTAGGTAAGAAAATGTTTTCTATTATTTATCCATCAGTTCAAAAGAAAGCATTTCAGTTAGAGGAAAGAAATAACAAATACTTAAACTTTGCTAATCTTAATTGATACAAAATTTATGAAGATGAGAAAAATATGATTTTTAAGTTAAATAAAACAAATTAGAAATTTTTAAAAAGATCAGTTTTTTGGTAAAAAATGAGACATCTTTTTGCACTTTCTATAGACAATATAATAGGATTTTATTTTTTAAGTATTTAATATATACACAATTAAAACGAAAGTTATGCTTCTGGTACAAAGTTTTTAAAAAATACTTGGCAAATTCAGGGAAGAAAATGGATTTTTTGACACTTAAAATATTCCAAAACATAAATGTAAACCAATATGATAATAAAAATAGACTATTTTGATAAATTTTAAAAACTGAACATTTCTTTAACAGCAGGTCAATGAATTTAAATTAATTAAAATTTGAGCTGTAACAGAGAAATTTAAACTATGGGCTGCACTTGCACACTAGGAAATTATTGTTTTATAGGGTTAGAATGTAAATAAAAACAATTTGTTTAATAAGGCAAGAGCTTGTACTTTGTGCAAGATTTCTTTTTGGCTTTTGTTAATTATGTTATACTGGTAACAGTATTTTTCTTACGAAAAAATAGGCTAACTTTTTGAACATAGCATAATATTAGCAAATCATTCCATTTTTGGCAATAATTCTTTTATGCAGTTTACTTGCATGAATAGCATAAATTACATATATGAAAATCAGATGTTTTAAAGCAGATAAAGATGAAATTAAAATATCTAGACAAACATTTTATATTATTATATGAAATAAAAAGAATAAAAGAAGTTACAGAAATTATACATAGAATTTGTTGTAAATATAAAAATTTGGACAGTCGAACACTGTCACCAGGACCACATTTGGAAAAGGACATAGATTGCCATGTTACTCTCTTATTGACATGTATATATTTTCAAAGTAAACAAGATTTTTCCTAATTTTAAATATATTATATAGTTACATATGGATATTTAAAAAATCTTAGTAAAGAGTTTAGTTTTTTTTAAAAAAAATACATGTTAAAATTCCTGTAGTAAAATAGAATCTTAAAAGCTTTAGGAGAAAATACTAAATTTTTTTGGTATGAATTTGAAAAATTCATTTCTAGAATGAATTTGTTTTCTTCTTATGAAAGCATTTATATTAGTTAAAAGTTACTTAAATTATTTATTTAGGGTATACCAAACTTCAAAGTTAGTAGTCCTTCTTAGCAGTCTAAGAATTATGTTAATCTGAAAAATTATGAAGCTATACAAAACATAATTCTTATATAAAGTTAATATCTTAATTTTAAATATTTTATTTTGATGGTTAAAATAAAAGAAAAAAATGACTGACTTCCTAATGGAAAATATAACCTCATAGAGCTGAGAAGAGAATTGTAAGCATTAATAAATACAATGTAGGAGATCAATAGCATTTCTGACTTGATGTTTAGCCTTTCTTATAAATCATATATTTTAAATCAGGAGAATAAAATATAACACATGCATACATTTCTATATCTTAATAGCTACTAAGAAATAGAGAAAAAAAAATGCAACTTTGCCTTGCTACATACTA